ATCCTGTATAGGGTTTCCGAGGAGCGGCTGGTGAACTAGAACCAACGACCTTGAGGTTCAGAATTTGCAATCATGCTCATTAACTCAGAGCACCACACCTAGTCAGGTAGTACATATTTAATTCAGCAATAGATTTATGAAACTTCCATCTTTAGAAATCTTACACAACAGGATTTATATCCATTTAATAAGATATACCAATACAAGGCTGCCTCAAAAAAGGAGACACCTAGGACCTCAAGAAATCCTTCTCATTCCTGATTCTGAAATTTATATAGGAGAGAAAGGGAAGATAGCTGTCTATGTGTGAGAGCTTTGTAAAAGCACTGATCCTGTCACCCTCCCCCCCTCCCCCTACCACTCTACCCCTTTACCTTCCAAAATCGTCTTGAGTCCTATGTAGAACTATAGAGAAAACATTTTCATGGTTCTTGACAGTTATGCTTTTCTGAGCAAAGAAAACTGGAATCTGGATTAAGGCTAAATCTTGGAAGTTAAAGGACAACTGCATATAGCCAGAGACCTTTTAACTTTAATAAAGTTACACACTTAGTTCCCCAATTGTTTGCATTTCAAAGGGAGATAGAGCTCAGTGCCTGGGAGTTAGTTGTTTACATTCCAAAGGAATGTAAATAACCAAGGAACTAAGGTTTTTCTCTCCAGCCTTTCTTTCTTAAACCCAAGTTCACTGTGGAGTCCTGGTGTGGTGCTGCAGGATAATACACTGGACCGCAAGGTCAATGGTTCAAACCCATCAGCCGCATTTAGGAAACCCTATGCAGGGTTGCTATGAGTCAGAACTGACTTGGTGGCACTTAACAATAACAACAAAGTCCACTGCTCTTGAGTTGATTCTGGCTCATAAGGACAAAGTTGAACTGCTCCATAGGGTTTCCAATACTAAAGCTTTATAGGCGTCGTATACAGCCCCATGTTTCTCAGGAGAAGAGGCTTGTGGGTGTGAATGCCAACCTTGCAGTAGCAGCCCAATACTTAACCCACTGCACCACCAGGGCTTCTTGGGGAGCATGTACCCTATAATAATTCCGAGGTTCATTATTAGAGAGTTCCTTTCCTGCAGTACAAACCTCATATATCCTCTGTGGGTATTGGGTGTGGTAAACCGACGTGGTTATTGCTGTAAGTAATAACTGTAATCTCTATTTCACAAATCTCATGTTTGTTTTCAGGATAAAATATATGCATTTAAAAATTATAATCCCACTCACCACAAAGGGCAAGATGCACTCATGCTGATTTTGTACCATGTATAAGCTGAACACAGACATGCGGCTGGGGCCCATCAAGCTGCAGGCTAGAGAGAAAAAGTTCTGCAGAGCCTCACAGAGGTTGGAGCAGATATCAGCCCATGAAGGTAGGGTGACATGCACAATGAGAAGTCGTGGTGGTTGCTGGTAAAAATGTACAGGGGTTGAGGGCCCTTTGCTAGTAATTCGTCCATGATGCATGGCAGCTAGACTAGAGGTGGAATCACAGCCACTATCTGAATATTCTTGACACCTATAGGGAAGAAAAAAGAAATTATTGGCCTTCATAAAACTGAATTATATGCTCTGTTGGAACAATGAACACATGTATGTAGCCTTAGTCTACAGGGCTAAGAACAATGAATGTAGCCTTAGTCTACAGGGCTAAGTCCAGAAAGGAGTCAAAGTGGTCACTAAACTTAACAACCTAGCTATACTTTCTTAAAGGTTATAACAATTTACCTGTAGGTCTTTTGTATTTTCTTATAACATATAATCTGTGAATAATGACATGCACTAATAAACATGAACAAAGTCAGACTACTGCAGTAAAAAGACTGTTCACAACAGTCTTGCTTACAATTACTCCAAACTGCAAACAACACAAATGTCAACTGTCATCAGAAAGTATTAACTGGAGCATATTTAAACATACAGAGACAAAAATAAAGAACTATTTATTTACATGGAACAACATGGTTGACTCTAAGAAATGTAATATGAATTAAATGTAAAATGAATAAAAGAGACAAAACACACAGAATATACACTCATGAAATAGGATTACATATACATAGACATTATAATTATACAAAAACAATATATTGTTTAGGAATTAATACATAGTAGAAAAACTATAAAGCAAGGAAATCAGGGTAGTGATTTCCTCTAGGAAGAAAGGAGGGCATTATAAATAGAAATGACAAAAGAGAGGGCTTCTAGGGTTTTAGCAATGTTCTATTTCTTTTATTGTGGTTACTGGTTGCTCACTTTATAATTATTAAATTAAACATTCATATTTTATGAAATCTCTATATATGTTATAATTAGCAAAATATTTTTTTAAAAAGAACTAAAATTATTCTATATAATTGTTTTTTAGCTAAAGAATGCAGGGAAAATAAAAAGCTAATTTCCCCAATGCCAAGAGAAAGATGATTATGATAATTTTTAGTTAACATTTTGGATTTTATGACCTTTAAGAATTATCTAAGAGTTCATAGGTAAATGTGTTTTTTACAATGAATGCCAGAGGGTACAAGATCAATATACAAACATCAGTTGTATTCCTTTATACTAATACAGAGAGTCCTGGTGTCCTACTGTAAGATAAGCAAGCACTAGATGGCAAGGTTGGTTTGAACTACAAGGAAAGCCTATACAAAGTAGGAGCCAACTGGATGGCACATAATAACAACAACAAAGAGAATTCAGAAAAGGAAACTATGAAAATAATACCATTTGCAGTAGCCACCTAAAAAATTAAATGCTTAGGAATAAATCGAATCAGAGAAACAAAAGGCCTATGTAAAGAAAACTATGAAACACTTCTATGCAAAACCAAAAGAGACCTACAAAAATGGAAGAATATACCATGCTCTTGGATAAGACTTAACACTGTTATAATGTCAACACTACTCAAAGTAATCTACAGATATAATGTAATCCTAATGTAGGTTCCAACATCATTCTTTAAAGTGATGGAAAAACTACACACCAACTTTATATGAAAAGAAAAGAGCCCAGATAAGCAAAGCATTACTAAAAGAAATAATAAAGTAGGAAACCTCTCACTTCCTGATATCAAAGCCTACTATACAATCACAGTAATCAAAACAGTCTAGTATTGATACAATGAAAGACAAATAGATAAATGGAATAGAATTGATAATCCAGAAGTAAATCCATCCACCTACATTCAATTGATCTTTTTTTTTTTTTTAAGTTTTTATTGTGAACTATGTGATAGGGTACATGGGTGAACATTAGCTTTACATTCATCTTATTATATATTGTTTCACTGCCATGATTACCATCCTCTTCATGCATCATCAACCAACCAAAGGGTACGCCCTGCAAGCTTGCCCCTCGGTCGTCAACACACAGCCCCTCTCCCTCCCTGGGTCTAGAGTCCCCAATACCTCCATCTCCCCACATCATCGTCTCTGCCTCCATCTCTGGTGTCACTGCTTTTAGTATGGGTTCTTTTTCTTAGTCTTTTACAGTAGTGGTCCTATGCAGTATTTCTCCTTTTGTGACTGACTAATTTCAATCAGCATAATATCCTCAAGGTTCATGTTATGCAGTGGCTTGCAGCCTCCTTGTTATTCTTCAAGGTAGCATAATACTCCATTATGTACTCAGTTGATATTTAAGAAAAAACAAAAACACATTAAATGAGGAAGTGAGAGTCTCTTCAATAAATGGTGCTGGCAAAACTGGAAATCCATTTTCAAAAGAATGAAATAAGACCCATATCTCACACCATATATAAAAAATTAACTCAATGTGGATTTAAAAGTTAATGTAAAACCTAGAACTATAAATATCATCAATGAAAAAATAGGGACAGACTTCTGGCAAGATGGCAGACTAGACAGACATGCTACAGATACCTTCTACAACAAAGATACGAGAGACCTAATGAAACAGGCACAGAGGACAATCCTGGAATCATAAGCCTCAAAGGAAAGCTTAGAGAAGTGGATTGAATGTCTACTGGGAGGAGAAGCTGATTAGGGGTGGTGAAAGAAGGAGACTGACTGGTGAACAGACTGCTGGCCAGATGCATGCAGCATGGCCTTCTTGAACTTTTGTGAGAAGCTTTGAAGTGACAGAGAGATGGTGCCTTGATGGCACAGATTCATATGTGTGATGGAAAACATGTGATTCTTTGTGTTCCCTACACTCCCCTGGATAACAGAGGTGAGGCTGGCCCCACACATCACCAAAGACGATATTCAGGTGGCCAACAAACATATGAAGAAATGCTCATAATTGCTGTTGTAGTAGTGTTGTCAGTTCCAACTCACAGCAACCCTGTATATAGTTTCTTTGAATCTTTGCGGAAGAGAAAGCCTCGTCTTTTTTCTCACTAACTGGTTGGTGAGTTCAAACCACAGACCTTGTGGTTCACAGTCCAGTGCTTATTGTATGGAGCCTTTGTACTCCTTCATTAGCCACTGTTGTAGTTAAGTGCTGTTCAGTCGGTTTTGACTCATGTTGTTGTTAA